GGCTTGTCCCCGCTGCAGTTTCTTAAAGGTGTTTCGGAAGCCCTCAGTGCTAAAGTAGTAGATCAGGGGGTCCAGCGTGCAGTTCATGCTGGCCAACAACATTGTCATAATTAGCACTTGACGTACAGAAGCCTGTGTTTGTTTCTCAACCTTCAGGATGTGGGCTTTTATCATCCCATAAACTGCCAAAGTAGTGTTGTAGGGCACAAAGCAGATGATGAAGATGACCAGATTGACCAAGAGAAGACGAATGGTCTTCTGCTGTCGCAGCGTCCTAGTCTGGTTGGTTTGGCAGAGCTCCCAAAAGATCCGAATTGAGCAGCACAGCACAGAGCTCAGAGGCAGGAGAAAACCCAGGATTTCAGCCAGAACAACTAAAGGGAAGAGGTTGTTTTGCCACATGTTGTCACTGAAGCTTTCAAAGCACAGATGAATTGTTTGGTTCTGTGTTATACAGTGGTTTTGCTTGTGGACCATGGCTGTGGGGATGGAGCCCATGAGGATCATAATCCAGACAATCAGGCAAAGGACCTTGGCCACTTTGGGGCGCCGCAGATGCCGCCAGCGAAGTGGGTGGACAATGGCAATGTAGCGGTCCAGGTTGATACACATGAGAAAGAGGCAGCTACCATACATATTTATCTGGAAGACAGATCCAGAGACCTGGCACAGAAAGTCATCAAAGGGCCAATGGTGATTGGAATAGTAGTAAAGTCGCAGTGGCAGAGAAAGTGTGAAGATGAGGTCGCTCATGGCCAAGTTGAACATGTAGATCATCACCACAGACTTCAGGCGCAGGTAGCGCATGAAGATCCAGAGGGCCATCACATTGAGCATCAAACCTGTAACAAAGATCAGGATGTAGCCAGGCAGAAGGAGATTGTGGCTGAGGCGGTAATCCTTGCATGTCTGAGACACATTGGCAGCGGACATGCTCAGCAGGGAACAGGAGAGGGTCTCAGCGAGATGGCTGATATTGCTAGCAGGCTAAGGAGGCACAAGGAAAATAACCGAGAGGTCATTCCCCTCTAGCAAGCTATAAGCAAGTCAATCCTTCATCCACAACTGAGAAATCGATGGGCTTCTCCCTCTCTTGACTGGTGCTGTCTTGACTTGCTGGTCAGTGGATGGCAAAGTGGTGAGTTCTAGCTCAGCAATAACTTCCAGTAGTTATGGGGATGCTGTCATGATGGAAGGTCATTGCTGATCATTGAAAGTCAGCACAATTCCTGGTAGGAGTGGAAGATTGAGAAAGAATAGTTTAATTTAGAGGGGTGAATTTCTTGAAAGGTCAAAATTCCACTGTGGTGGTTTCTGCTGCAAGAACACATAAAGAAAGGAGACAAAGCAAAATGTTAAGTAGAAAAGTGGGTGATGCAATGGCAGAAGAAGCTGGAATACAAAGGATTTAACTGCTGTAAGGAATCATTTACTATTCAGTTGCAGAAAACTTATTTTCTCTTTATTTTCATCATTAGTGTGATATAGGTTTATAAGAAATTCATAGCATAAGTGCATGCAGGGAAAACAGTCATCAGCTCCAGAAAAAAAAAAAAAAGAGGGAGAAGAAAAAGAAAAAAGAGAGAGACAGAAAGAAAGAAAAAAAGAACAGCAAGTAAGAGAGTAAGCACTTGGAGGGGAAAATGCTGACTGGAAAGAAACTTAGAACAGAACACAAATTGTGATACTGTTTTATATCAGAGAAACAGGACTTTGTACAGACATTGTAGATAAAAGGAATTACACTACAGGTAGGCTTGACTCCACCCTAGCTTCTCTTCCTAGGTGAAACAACCCACAGAAACCCAGGTCCTGGGCTTGACCAGAATGGATAAACCTCAGTGGATAGAGGCACCTTTCCCCCATTTCATGGGACAAGAGTTCAAATGAGACCAGAGCAGCAGATGCATCTCAGTTCCTTCCTCAGGATTTGCAATAGAATAACAGAGTTGATGTGATGGTAGAAATGGTTGTGCTGCAAATTAATTAAGAAATTCCAGCTGAGAACAGGTAAACAGAGAAGATTTATGTTATAGCAACTGTAGTTTGTTAAGTTGCTTACATTCATACAATTCTTCAGCTCTTTTGGTGTGTTTTTTTTTTTTTTGGCACCAGATCAGTATACTGCCTATCGGGTGTGCGTTCTTAGATCATTTTCCAGCTTATCACACCATAAAACAAAAGGCAGCCCACATCCCACCCTGTTTATTTACCAACACAGAGCAGAACAGCCAGATAAGGCCATTACACATTACAGTAACCATGTAAAGACCATGAGATTCATGTGGGGGAAACATACCCATGTCTCCTAGGTAGACTGAGTATATAGACCTTTCTATATACTAATGGCAGCACTGCCTTGCTAAATACTGATCAGCTGGAGTGGGACCAGTGAAAGGCCACCAAAATGGTCAGTGCATTGGAGAGCCCTTCTGACCTGAATTATCTCATGAACCTAAAACTAGTCATCACCTCTAAAAACTGTCACAGAGCAGTAAGCATTACTAAGCATATTTGCAGGGGTTAGATAGCAACTCCCTGATGTAGCTTATGTAGGATGTGATTCACCTCAAAACGAAAGCAGATTTTTTTTTTTTTCTATCTGGAGGAAAATTTTATGTTAGGTGGAGTTTATTGTAAAAGGATGCCACCCAAGAACCTACATCCTCTGTGAAAGTCTAGAGGAATAAATAATAATAAAAAGAAAGGACAGCATATTTTCTTTAGAAATAAGAAAAAAAAATCAGGCATGGCTTGATAGACATGCAAGACCTTTTGCGTGACATAGTGGGGCAATGCACAGTCTTAGAGAGAGGACCTATTAAAAGTAGCTAGAGCATGCTGATCTTTTATTTTGATGAGCATATGTTAGATAATAAAAGTAGAGTTCTAATATGAGAGAGCAGGCATAAAAAGCAAACAGCTATCTATTTTCCCTTTTTTTTTTCCTTTTTTTTTTTGTTACTGTCTGCCACCATGCCAAATTTCTTAGAGAAACTTGTACTGGTCTGTCAAACCATATCTGAGTGGCTCTTGTTCATTTTTGAAGAACTTGGTAGAAAACAATGTGTGAACACTTCCTTAAGTAAAGTGTAAGATAACATAGGAAGACAACGCAAATATACAAGAATATTATTATTTTTAAGTGAAATGATTAGCTGCCTCAGAAAATATTGAGGAAGACATGCCAGAATGTGTTAGTGCTAAAACCCTGCTAACTGCTAACCCCCACCCCCTGTGTTAGTGCTAAAACTCTCTACTGAACAGGCTGGAGGGCACTTTTGCCTTCACTGAGGCATTGAGGACCTAGTGACAGAGCAGCTGTAATTTACTTGATGACCTGCTCTAACCCATGTGCCCAGAGCAGCTGGCTGAAGGTGCCTTGACTCCATATACAGGCTATTTTTATTCAGAGGCATTCACTAAACGCCACTAGAGAACACAAGTATGTGGGAATGGCTCATACTGTGTCAGATCAGCGGTCTATCTAGCTGAAAAAGGTGGTCAGTAAGGGATGATGAAGAGAAAATATAAGGACAGTGCAATTATGTAGTGACATTCCTCCAAATTCTCCTTCTTCTCCCAACAAATTGTAGTCCAGCCAGGGATTTCTTGAACCAGAGGTGACATTGTTGTATTTAATAGTCTTCAGTGGATATTAATTGCATGATATTTTTCTAGTTGCTTTTTGAATTCCTGTAAAATTTAGCAGCTACAATGTTTAGTGCTAAGGAGTGGCAAGAAGTTCCACAACTTATATGCATCTCATGCAAAGATCAACCTCTTTATACTCTTTCTGAATCTTCTAGATTCAGCCTCTTAGTGGTGAAAAAGATGGAGAAGTACTGATCCCTATTCACTGTCACCCATGATTTTATAGACTTCTGCCATATTCTCCACCAACCATTTTTTTTTCTTGAGGCAGTCTTCTTAGTTGTTTCTCACAGAAGAGCCATTCTGTACTTCTGATCATCCTTGTTGGTCTTCTCAGAACCTTTCTGATTCTGCTACAGTCTTTGTGAGCCTCAGTGTTGAGTGCTGAAATGCAAGAAGTGTTCAAGATGTGGATGCGCTGAGCTGAGGATGAGGATCTCATTCACAAGCAGTAAAGGTCAATTCAGATTACTTTTTTTTTCTCATAACTTAAAATAGATTGACTTTAAACCATCCTTTTAAAACCAGTCACTTCTCCTAATATCTCTGCAGTTTTTCACAGACATCTCTCGTCTTTTCTGCTTTGAACAATTTTACGTCTCCAGCAGCTTTGTTATTTCATTATTCATCCTCTTTCCCAGATCCTTTATTAATAATTCGTACTGTCCAAGACCCAGAGCAGCTGTCTCAGAACTCCACTGAGACTGACCATTTACTCTCAGTCTCTGTCCTATCTTCTAATCAAGTTCTATCCATGTAGGGACCTTTTACCTTAATTACTTTAAGCATCATTAGTGGAGGAGGCTTTTGAAAGCCTTTTGGAAATTTACTTGGGCAACTGTCTATGTTTGTTGATTTCTTCAAAGAATTTC